TGCCTTAGGTAAGATGGACATCTTCACAATGTTGATTCTTCCAATCCATGTGCATGGGATATTTTTCCACTTGTTTGTGTCATCTTTGATTTCTTTGAGCAGAGTTTTGTAGTTTTCATTGTAAAGGTCTTTCAGGTCTCTGTTTAGGAAGATGCCAAGGTATTTTACTCTTTTTCTGGCTATTGTGAATGGAATTGTCCTTTTTATTTGGGTTTCTGTTTGTTTATTATTGGTGTAAAGAAATGTGATTGTCTTTTGCAAATTTATTTTATATCCTGAGACTTTGCTGAAGGCCTTTATCAGTGTAAGAAGATTTTTGACAGATTCTCTTGGGTTTTCAAGGTACACGATCATGTCATCTGCAAAAAGAGATAATTTGACTTCCACTTTTCCGATTTGGATACCCCTGATTGCCTCCTCTTCTCTGATTGCTCGAGCCAGGACTTTCAACACTATGTTGAACAGGAGGGCTGAGAGTGGGCATCCTTATTTTGTTCCAGTTTTCAGGGGAAATGGTTCCAATTTTTGTCATTTAGGAGAATGCTGGCTGTGGGTTTCTCATAGAATGCTTTTACTACTTTGAGGTAAGTTCCCTGTATGCCTAGATGTTTGAGGGCTTTGATCAAGAAGGGGTGCTGGATTTTATCAAAAACTTTTTCCACATCTAATGATATAATCATGTGGTTTTTGTTTTGACATCTGTTGATGTATTTTAATTACATTTAAGGTTTTACGAATGTTGAACCAGTCTTACATCCCAAGGATGAAGCCTGCTTGCTCATGATGGATGATTTTTGAGATGTGTTGTTGAATCCAGTTTGCTAGGATCTTGTTGAGAATTTTAGCATCTTTGTTCATCAAAGATATTGGTCTGTAGTTCTCTTTCTTTGTAGGATCTTGACCTGGCTTGGGTATCAATGTGATGTTAGCTTCATAAAATGATTTGGGGAGGGTTCCATCTTTCTCAATCACCTGAAATATCTTCAGTAGGATTGGAATCATCTCCTCCTTAAATGTCTTGTAGCATTCTGCTGGAAAGCCATCTGGTCCAGGGCTTTTTTTTTTTGTAGGTAGTTTTCTTATTACATAATCAATTTCCTTGATTGTTATTTTCTATTTAGGGTCTCAATTTCTTCTTGTTTCAACCTAGGCAGGTTGTGTGATGACAGAAAGTCCTCCATTTCCTTGAGGTTTTCAAGTTTGTTTCCATACAAGTGTACATAGTAGTCTAATGATCTTTTGTATTTCTTCAGGGTCAGATGTGACTTCATCTTTTGTGTTTCTGATTGTGCTTATTTGGGTTCTTTCTTTCTTTTTCTTGGTCAGTCTAACTAGGGGACCATTGATCTTGTTTATTCTTTCAAAGAACCACCTTTTTGTTTCATTGATTTTTTTGTATTGTCTTTTTGTCTTCTATGTCCTGGATTTGGGCTTTTATTTTGGTGATCTGGATTCTTTGCAGAAATTAGGGTTTTTGTGGTCTTGCTTTTTCAGCTTCCTTAGGTGACTTGTTAGGCCATTAATTTGTGTTCCTTCCATTTTCTTCATGTGCATTTGTAGGGATATAAATTCCCCTCTTATTACAGCTTTCATGGCATCCCAGAGATTCTGGTAAGATGTTTCTTCATTTTCATTTGTTTCCAGGTATCTTTTTATCTCTGTTTTGATTTCATCATTGACCCAGGAGTTGTTTAGCATCATACTGTTTAGTTTCCATGTCTTCGTGGGTTTTGAGGGAACCTTGTTGGTGTTAATGTTTATTTTTATTCCACTGTGGTCCGAGAAGGTGCATGGTAAAATGTTTGTCCTTTTAAATTTGCTTATGCTTGATTTATGGTCAATTATGTGGTTGATATTAGAATACGTTCCATGCGGTGATGAGTAGAATGCGTATTCTCTGGTCTTTGGATGGAGTGTTCTGTAGGTATCAATTAAGTCCATTTGGTCCAGAGTCACATTGAGGTTCCGGATGTCATTGCTGATTTTTTGTCCCGATGATCTGTCTAGGGTTGTGAGTGGGGTATTAAAGTCCCCAGTTATGATGGTGTTAGATTCAATATCCTTCTTTAGTTTTCCTAGGAGTTGCTTTATAAAAGTTGGTGCCCCTATGTTAGGTGCATATATGTTTAGGATAGATATTTCTTGTTAATGGAGTGAACCTTTTATCATTATGTAGTGGCCCTCTGCATCTTTTTAAATTTTTGATAGCTTAAATGGTATTTTGTCTGAAATTAGGATCGCAACTCCTCCTTTCTTTTGTGTTCCATTTGCCTGAAAATTTGTTTCCCATTCTCTTACTTTGAGTCTGTGCATGTCCTTTCTAGTGAGGTGGGTCTCTTGAAGGCAGTATATCGTTGCCTGGTGATATTTTATCCATTTTGCCATTCTATTTCTTTTCAGTGGTGCATTCAGTCCATTCATATTCAGGCTAATTATTGAAATGTGAGAGTTCGTCCCTATCATAGAGTTCTTATAGAGTAGTTCTTCCACTTGTTTTATTGTCTTTCTTTTGGTTTTGGGGTTGGTTCATGTGTATTTTATTATTTTTCCTGTACTCTTGTGAAGTACGCTGTTCTTTTTTTCACCTTTTCTTCTGTGTTTAGTACTTTCTTAAGTGTTTCATGTAGAGGTGGTTTGGTGGCAGTGTAAGTTCTTAGGGATTGGATATCTGGGAAAGATTTTAATTCTCCCTCGCTGATGAAGCTTAATCTGGCTGGGTATGTTATTCTTGGTTGAAATTGTTTATCTTTTAGGACTTTGAAGATAGGGCTCCAAGCTCTCCTAGCCTGCAGGGTTTCTGTAGATAAATCTGTTGCTGTTCTAATTGGTTTTCCATGGTAGGTGATCTGGTCTTTTTCTCTTGCTGCCTTTAGGATTTTTTTCTTTTATGCCTACTTTGTTTACATGAATTATTATGTGTCTAGGAGTTGGTCTTCTCATTTGTTGTCTTGCA